GATCACCTGTATGATATGGCGTTCTGAAATTAATCTAAAGAGTTTCACAACTATTTTCTTAAAAATTCTCGAGACATCGGGGCAATTATAAGTACATTTATTTCTTTTTTCTCAATTTTTGCTAATCATTGTAAAGAAGAAAGATCCTCGGGTGAGGGATCTTCCCTTCTTTTATGTTCTCATTATAGTTTTCTAGCTCTTCAATTGGCGAGTTTGGTTTTAATTTTTTTTCATTTTCAGAAACAAAACCGTGGTGTTTTCATAAAAAAGGACTGAATTAAAGTGTGGAAATCTCGATTTATACACACTTATCGGACCTATCAATTTTACCATGTCTCAGTTAACTGAATGTTGGGTACAGCGTTGAGGGACGTGGTCATAGAAAGTTCCGATTACTTCTTTTTGAAACTTTTTTTCCTGTTCATTTTACTCACAGAAGTTTCAGCTCCGAAAGGCTGTCAAAAATTCCCTCTGTAAGACTTTTCAATTTGTTATTTGACAGATAGCTGATTGGAAAGACAAGAAAACAAATTGCGTCTTGCTTTACCCTGTTATTTGTAAATCATAGTTAAAAATACATGCAGACGCTGGACACCAAATTAAATGTGATCAAATGCAAAGAGGTGAATGTAATCATGTATGTGCAAATAATAGGTCTATTCTAATTAAGAGGATGGAGCAGTTATTGCGATTCATTCGTCTTAGTTAGGTTATGATTTTTAATAAAAAGAAACAAGCAACTAACAACTTAAAACAGTTCACAATACTCATGAGCTGCCTTGTGTTAGAAAATAGGTGACGATAACAGCTGAGAATCTTTCCCTTAGCTCAGCTACAAAGCTAATTTCCTGTAGAAAGCGTTTGACAGTAACTTACAGTTCTTTCAGGCTTTTTAAGTCTTGTAATAATTTGGGAGGCAACTCAGTGAAATTGTTGTCTTGCAACCATCTGTGTTGAAGAAGAGAAATTGATGCAGTTTTATAGAGGAGCTTACAAATTGACCAGTCCTCTGGTTGTATGTGTGTGATAAGATATTAATCGGAAGTTTCACGAGCAACCTGTGTGGCTTATTTGTTGCTGGTAAAAGGAATTCCAGGTGGATGGAATTCCTCTCCTCTGATAGATGATCAGTGGATGAACTGGGAAAGTAAACTGTATGTGAGGATGGGCTGGTGTAAGTTGAAAAAAATCTTAAAATAGAATGTGTTGAGGTTAGTGATTATATTGAGGGAGCAACACAACACTCTCTAACTCAATACAATTAAAAAAAGAACTAAAACATAAACAAAGACAAAACCAATCACGAAGAAATTAAGTGCGCCTTTTTTTCAAGACCGCGTGAGAAGTGGCACATCGACCGAAAAAATTACTATCCTCATATTTCAATAAGAGATGCTTTATGGTGAAATTAGAAACGTGGTAAGGCTTTTTTTTCCCAGACTATCTTCTTTATCCTAGAAACTTCCCGAAAACTGAAGCGAGCGTCAGTAGCCGTAAAATAGCGGAAATCAGTGCCCTGAGTAGAAGCAAATGAACTTTGCTCATGAAAAGCGCAAAAGAAAGGAAGCGAGTATCAATTTGACAGATTTGTACAGGAGGGATTGAGGTATGGCTTAAGTCTAAAACGGGACCATTTCATTTAGTTTTGACATCACGGAACGCTTTTAAAAATCACTAGTATTTCAAAATCCCACTATCGTATTCTGTAGCAAATTTTCAATCATTATAATTTTACACCATGCGGTATAACTCAGAATCGCTTAAGATTAAGCTCATGATAAGTGGAAATAATGTTGTTTTCGAGGATACAAAAGTTAATTTGGGGCTTTTCATTCCCACACGGAAAAACCAGGCTGAACTCTGTGAAAATTGCAACATCGTCATTTTCGTTACGACATAGTCATTGCTTTAAAACTTGTTAACTTCGCAGCGGGGGATCTCATGTAGAGTTGAATTTAATAGTGACATTACCTAGAGGAGCCAATAAGGGGAACACAAGACAAAAAATAGCTATATAAAAAAGATTACGGAAAGGATCAAAGTCAGAGTAAAGGCGAAACACAGGCAAAGTACGAAATGACTGGAATAGGAGAAAAATACCAAGTATGGAGCTGGAAACAGAAGGAAATAGATAGGGTGAACTAAACCTGAGGATAAATGTGTGATAAACAATGTGCCCTTTTAAATCACTACTACAAACAAAGAATCTTAGTTGAGTTAAGAACGTTCTTCCTAAATTGAGAATTCTGGTTACAAAACTCACGTGAATTAATTGGGCTGGAAACTGTTCTCAAATCAAAACAACTAAGTCGAGAAAAAGGTAATTCTTTTGATCCCTGAAAATTCAGCTAATACTGTTTCAGCTAATATCGTGCCGTAAAGTCATTTCTGAACACTTAAAGACTGTCGGGAATACCGATATTGAGGCGGAAATAGATTTCATCTTAGATCGAGCACCAATTCTTAACACACTTTCCAGTAATCAGATTGGATGGAGCGGGCGCAGATAGTATAAGTAGTATAAAGCGAGCGCAACGAGGCCGTACAAAAATACTGAGGGCCAATATTTCCCAATACAGCTCAAGCAAGCGATGTTACTTAAGAATTGTTTCATGCTTAGCGTGCGTCTATGGAGTTATGGATGCACGCGGGAGTTTGGAGAGCACGAGAGAAGCGTAAGAGTTGCTCGACGCGCAGCCGAGAGCAACTATAGCTTCTTGAGTGTTCTCCAAACTTCCCAAGTGCATCCATAACTCGATATAGGCACAGCTAAAAGTATGAAACAATTCTTTCATAACATACGAAAACAATTTGGGCGCTGAATGACTTTTTTGTAATGTTTTTTTAAATGAAAGTTGCCCGAAAATGTTGGCGTCTCCGATTGTTTTGTTGATTTTGTAATTAAATGGCTTTTGGTAGAGTTAACAAATGTAACCAAAAAAAACCTCATCGGCAGAGACGTTTGCCTTTAAAAGTCGCCACAGACCAATTTGTAGTCTTCTTAGTTCTTGCTGAATGTCTTTCAGCTAAAATTTTCTCCAGCTCCTGTTCCGATAAACTCGGGAAACGGGCCTGTTGTGTTTCGTTTTCGTAGTTCTTATTGGCTTGACTACTTGGGGGAAGGTCGAAAGCCAAAGAAAAGTTTGGTTGGTCTTCGAATTTCTTACATCGCTTTCCGGAACTCACACGACGGAAATTTTGCAGCTATTTTGAAACTGCACACGTCATTTTATTGAGCACGGCCGTGCGTAGATAAAGATTT